CCGGGCATGTGTCCACTTGGAGGTCCCAACAGGCATCACAAATGCAAGCACCAAAATGACTCCTGTCCCAGCCACCGCCCACCGTTTGCTGGTGCTTCTCCTCTCAAGTTCCCTATCTGGTAGCCAAATCCAATACAGAGAAATACCCCGAGGCTCCTCCATCGCCGTTCTCGCATGTCCTATTAGTACTAAGTGCCTTTGGTTCTACTTCCTAAATCTTTCCAAATTCTACCTCTTCTCCATGCCCAATCCCACTACCTCAGTTCTTGTAAAAGCCTTCTAAACAGTCTCCCCACCTAAAATCTCATTCTTTTCCGATATTCTGCCACACATTTCCCCCCAAGTAGCCCCTCTTATCTGTCAATCTAGCCCTAGGGCTGACTGGTAGGAACTGGTGCCTCTGAGGGGGCTGTTTGCTCACAGGTGGCGTATGTTTTCATGGATCGCTGTCATCTAGTTGTCCAGTAATTCCAGTATCACCCTGATTATCAGTTCCTTGCTCAAACCCTTCAGTGGCTTCCCAACATCTCAAAACAATCTTCAGTGCAGCACGTCAGGGCTTCCTGCTCTCAGGCCGTGCCCAAGCCACAGTATCACGTGGACTACCCTCTTCTAGTGTCTCTAAACAAGGTCGTCTTCCACTTGGGGTCTACAGGTCCACGCAGGTTCATGGGTGGAGGCAGCAATAGAGGGTGGGGGTGGGGAATGTAAACTCGGCTAGGAAAAAGATTACATCTTTATTTTTTCTAACCTCTATAATTTAGTATTTCCTTCAATTATAAATATAGGCAACAAACCACAGTAGTAGTAATAATACCTATATTTTGTCAGTTATAAAATTATGGACATTTTCAAATCACAGCAAACTTTAGAAAACAGAAAAAAAATTTATGCTTATCACTACAAATTTACAATAGTAATTCTGACTGCTATTATATCTCATTATTTAATGTGTTAATAAAGACACACATATTACATGACATTTGTTTTTAAGATGTTTTGATAACTATACTTCAATATAATTAGATTTTTTTTTTGGTAATCTCATGCACTTATTTTATGCTATTAAAAATATTATTCTGAGGGCCGGCCGAGTGGCGCGATGGTTAGGAACTCGCTTGGGATGCCAGAGGGCCCCGGTTCGGATCCCACATATGAGGGCCAGTGACACTGCCCTCTGCAGCTAAGATGCTGAACAATGGCTCGACCTGGAGCTGGGCTGCCGGGAGTCGCCGGCGACGGCGTAGGCTGCAGCCCCTGTGACAGTGGGTTGCCATGGGCTACCGTATGTAGCCAGCAGCCAGCGTGAGCGGCCAGCAGCCGCAGTGAGCGGCCGTCCAGAAGCCGGCGACTGATCTGCCTCGCCAGAGAAGAGTGCAATGATGGTGCCAACTTGGGCCAGTGAAGCAACGTCCTCCACAACTAGATTGAAGAACAACACGACAGCAAATTGTCTGTTCCCCTTCCCCCAACTCCCCAGCACTGTTCCTATCCCCCTAATTCCCCAATAAAAAAATCTTTAAAAAAAAAATATTATTCTGAGAAGGGGTTCACCAATGAGAGAGCCGAAGAGATCTATGGGGCAGTACAGGCTTAGGATCTATACTCGAATGGCTTCCCTGTCCACCCACTCAGCATACACTTATCGATTGCTCACTAGGTGTCATGCATTGTGCTGCGCCCCAGGCATAGCGTGGTGAGAAAAACACAGCTCCTTACCTCAAGGCGGATGAGAGGGGAAAGCTGACCATTTAAATACTGTGTGATCGATGCAGTATTAATACTTTACACAGGGAGCCATGGGAACCAACGGAGGGACAGCCAACCCAAACCAGGGCTGGGGAAGCCTCCTGGAGATGACACTGGAGTCATCTTAAAGGACAGGTAGGGTTTAGTCAGGTGAAGAAAGAAAACAACCATGATGCCACAGGCCACATTACACTCTTTTGGAAACAACTATGAGTCTGATTATATTTGCTCCAGGAGAGTGAAATAACTTTATGTAGTGCTGAAGGACTGCAAATAAATACAACTGTCTGATACTGTGTATAAAGTCGTTAGACCCTGGAAAGAGGTAAGGGAGGGAGGGAGGAACACAATCAGCCCAGAAGATTTTTCAGAGTTAAAAAGGGGCCCATTTTCCTCAAGAAGATAAAACGTTCTCTTTATGTGGACGATGAAAATCCAGCGGTAGAAATCTGAGTTTAGAACCAAATCCTGCTGACCATGGTCTGATCATTCTCCAGGGGAGGAGAAAGAGTCCAAAAGCCATCCACATGATGCAGTAGAGGGGCTGTTTTTAGACTAACTTTCCTGTGGCTTCCTGACTGGATGGCACAAAAACACATTTTTCAGAGCTGTTTTAAAAGTTGAATAACTGAGATATATTGGATGATTTTTACAACAAAGTATATGGTTCAAAATGTCTTCACACTGGACAGTCCTGGGTAGGTATGAAGTTTCTGAAGGCCTGTGTTTGGGCTGACATGGGACAGATTATCCATGTCGGGAATATCTGAAGTAAAAACACGTCTAGTTTTAGGAAGTGGTTTTCACGTCTGACTAATTATCAGGAAGGCAGGGGGCAATGACCACTGTCTTCCTATAACTATGTGCCCTTTCGAATTTCCTTCTTTTCTCAAGCAGATGGGGACATGTGTTGATTCAACTTTCCCCAATATTAAATTACAGCATATTTCCTCTTTTCTCATTACAGAAACAAAAAGTTGCAATAAACTTCCTGTCTCTGTACCTCGTTTCATTTAGGAATTGGAATCGCATGATTCTAGTGGAGAGCTCAAACTTCGCTGGTAGAAAGGATGCTCAGTTAACTGCAAGGTAGTTTTGCATTATGAAACTAAACAATGCCTCGCTTTCCCAAGTTCCACAAGTACATTTAATGGTATCTTGAAAACCAAACCAAACCATTCCCTGTAGTTGGAAAAGTTTATTCCTCTGACTGAGTGTTAATATTAACCTTGAAACGTCGGCCATCTACTATTCTATCCCCATGTTTCTGCCATAAAAGTTTCAGTAAACGTACAGCCCTGACACACAGTTACCACGAGCAGACCTCTATCTGGGAATGATTACGCTTGCATATGGATTTAACTTAGGACGGGAATAAGTTAGCACCTTCCTTTGACCTCTTTCTGAGCACAACATACAAACAGAATCCAGGAATGATGACTCTTTTACAGCAGCTGGCTTCCACAGATGGTAGGATGGGCTTGGACACACGATGGGTCTCTTCAGTCAGCAAGTGTGAATTTTGGAAGTGAGCATCTGCCAGTCTTATTATTAACTGGGAGTTGAGTTGTTTTTATGAACTTCCAGCCTTGAGCACTTAAATGCATTTTTGAAACAAATTCACTTATAATTTAAGTGAAAAATAGAATACTGTTTTTCTTGTGTTTTCACATCCTTCAACAACTGGAAACAGCTGAAAGGCCTGGTGAGAGGGTCCCTCTGAGCCGCCCCCACATCCCCCGCCACATTCAGCTAGTCTCCTTCTGGATCCCAAATTGCAATGTCTAGCCAACTGCTGTGTGAGAAACATGATGACCAGTATGGCCACAGACAAACACAGGTGGGCATTTTCAGAAGTCTTCTCTGGGTGATGCTACTACAGATCAATATTCTGAAAATATTTTTTTAAAGAACGTATACATTTCTTGCTTGAAGATAATTGTATTGGGAGATTATAGAAATGTGAATGAACACTAGAGGAAAGTTTACAAATGTCTCAAAGTTTATGAAGAGATTCTAAACCCCATAGGGTAGCTAAGATTTTCCTTGCAGATTGCAGGTTCCTGGGCCCTAATCCGTAAGTCATAAAAACACACTGATCTGGCCACTCCGCAGGGCTCATTTCATTGCACCCAGCAGATGTTACAGTTTAGCACTGACTGAAAAGCTCTAGGTTAGCACAGTCCAACAGGACTATAAAGGTATACAGTAGAACCTTGGATTGCGAGTAACTTGGTTTGCGAGTGTTCCGCAAGACGAGCAAACATTTCTAATAACATTTTAACTTGGTAAACGAGCGATGTCTTACAATATGAGTAGTATGTTTCCGGAACGAATTATGCTCGCAAACCAAGGTATTACTGTATATGTAATTTTAAAATTTCTAGTATTTACTTTAAAAAAAGTATAAAGAAATAGGTGAAATTAGTTTTAATAATATATTTTACTTAATCCAATAGATGTTAAAATATCAATTGAACATGTAATCAATATAAAAATATTTATGAAATATTTTACTTTGGTTTGGTCTAAGTTTCTGAAATCCATGTGTATTGCACACTTCCGGCACATCTCAATTCAGACCAGTCACAGATAACCACACGTGCAGCTCTATCCTATTTAGGATGGACAGACAGACAAGCGATGCCATGGAAGGACCAGGGCCGCCTTAATTCTGTGGTGCTCAGACACATTCTAAACCACGGTCCTCTCAGTTTCAGAGATCGCCGCTTCCAAATGAGTGTGTGTAAGATTCTAGCATTTGCAGCAGAACATCACAAATGCCAAATATGTCAACTTTTGCCTTTCTGCACCTGTTTGTATAGAAAACTGTGCTTGGTGTCAGAACTGGACACCTAACGCCCTGGAGAATAAGAAAGACAGGCTCACTGAGTCCTAAGGTCACAGAAATGTTAGTTCTTTTCCTATGTTTTCCTTATATTTTAATATAACTCATGTATTGTATAAATGTTATTGAGAATCTTCTCTGTACAAGGCCCTAGAGAGAAGTATTGATTCTATAAACAAACCCAACAAAATTAGGTGGTAATATATATTTAAGTAACTATGCAATCATCTTTACTTACTTTCTACGTAACTTTCAAGGACAGAATTACTTTTAACTAGAAGTAGAACTCTATCTGAACTCTACAAACCCCTGAGGTCTTACAGATTCTAACCCATTCTAGCCTTTCATCCTCAGTGAACACTCCTGCCCACCTGCCCACTTCCTTGCAGCACAAAGTGATTACCTTAGATAAATGTTCCTTTATGGTCTCGTCGTCTCTCTTCACGACCTCCATCATTTCTTGGCTCCCAAGATAGGCAACGTTAACTACATTAAAAAAAAAAGTCAAGGGCTTAGAATATCCAGAACAAACAATTTCTAATTAATTGTAGTACATTCCTGGTCCCCCCTTTTCTTTCAGCAAGTGCTATCTGATGTGAGATATCAGCGAGGCCAAGGCAGGCGTGAGTCAGGCCACACGCGCTGTCTCTGGAAATGAGAGCAAGTCCTACAAAGGGACCTCCGTTCAGCTTCACCTGGCTTCTCAACAGCAACGCTGTGCAGCGGAGCGGCTCACATCAGCTCCCACAGCAGATGATGTGTGTAATTGTACCTGATCAGTGCGTTTTTATGATTTAAGGATTAGAAGCACCAAGTTTTATATATAAATCCTGTATACCAGGGACACTTTGCACAATTACAAATGTGAAACCATCCTGGCAATTTTTTAAAAAGGACACAGCTAAAAAAAAACGTTTATTTTAAAATAGGTTTCAAGGATCTCTAAGAGTTTTTAATGAGGGTTGTTAGTTCATTACACTGACTGCAAATTGAGCAAAGCGACCCTCACTTTCAAGATGTCAAATTACCTGGGAAAGAGAAAGAAAGTCAGAGATCACACGAATTTCTGTGGCTTTGTTGTACTGGTAGGAAAACTCTCATTTCATCTTTGTGACTTGAATTCAATTTTGATTGGTATTACATATTATTGTTACTTTGTTTTCTTTTTTGTCATCATCTGCCTAGTATATCTGTCCTTTGTTTTATTTTCAATCTTTTGTCATTTTGTGTTAAGTATCTCTCTGGAAAGCATAAGTGGACTTCTTTAAAAATGCAATTTGAAAATCTCTCTGAAATAAAAGGACCTAACATATTCACACATAAGGGCAGAAAGATGTTCGGTTTGCCTCTAGTCACCTTGTTTGGTATGTGCTTTGCTTCTTGTCACTTCTGACTCTTCTTCCCACGCCCTTCAGTGTGAATGATGAGTTTTCCTTCCCTGCCTTTAAAACATTTCTTTTCAATAAGAGTTTCAAAGCATAAATTGCATTTTTATTCGAGTGGTTGGCCATACCTAAAATGTAAAACTTACATTTTTTTTTTCTTTCTATTGCTGTCTGGAACTAATCAGTATCTATCATCTCTCCACCAAAACAAGGCCAGCCCTCTGAACGCCTGCACCCTCCCCACGCCTTCCAACCACTGTGACGTCTCTCTGGAACTATAAGGAATACACTCTTATTCTAAAGGCAGCCGTCTCCATGTCTGTCGCTACCATACCTGATTAAAACAAATTCTGGGCACATTTTAAAACAGAGAGACAGACCTGGTATTCTGGGGAGGCCAATACAGTGAGCTTCGGGAGGGCAGAGGAGTGCAGAGGAGAGAGCTGCAGAGGGGCGGTGTGGGGGGCGGGGCTGGGACGGAGGCTCCAGGGGTCTGCAGAGGGTGCCTCTTGAGTCCCAGCTAAGTACCGATCGACACTGACATGTGCGAAACTGCCAGAAGCTGGGGAAAGAACCATCTGAAAGGACTTAAGAGGGAACAATCCCCAAACAGGGGACAGTCACTGTTCTACCAGCCTGGTAGAAAATCTCATAATCAATGCTATATCAACTATAGAAATCAGAGAGGCTTTGCCTTGGTGGTGGGGTGAAAATTAGCCCTACACTAAATGCTGGTCTGGTACCAACTAACAGCTTAAAAGCAAGACAAGAAAGGATCAAACTATTTCCAATAACATAACTATGTCTCATAACAAAGCTGAAGAATACCTATATGAATACAAAAATATCCGGAATTCAACAAGGTAAAATGAACAATGGAAGGCATTGAATAAAAAGTTATCAAGCATGCAAGATAGGAAAATACAACCCAAAATGAGGAAAAAAGTTAATTAATCAAAACTGACCCAGAAATGACCAAGAAAATAAAATTGGTAAACATTCAAGAAATGGTGCCGGGAGAGCTGGCAAAGAATGACTTGGACCACTACCTCACACCACATACAAAAATGAATTCAATGGATTATACTACTAGATGTAACAACTAAATTTATAAAACTCTTAGAAGGAAACATAAGAACAAACCTTTGTGACCTTAGATTAGGCAATGGTTATTTAGATATGCCAAAAGCACAACTGACAAAAGAAAAAATAAACTGGGCTTCATAAAAATTAATACCTTCTGTGCCTTAAAGGACCCCATTAAGAAAGTAAAAAGATGACCCACAGCATGGGAGAAAATCGTATATCTAATAAGGATCTAGTATCCAGAATATATAAAGAACTCTTACAACTCAACAATAAAAAGGCAAACAACTTGATTAAAAATGTACAAAGGATTTGAATAGGCATTTCTCTAAAGAAGATATACAAATGGTCAAGTGAAAAGAAGCATAACATCATCAGTCACAGAGAAATGCAATCAAAACCACAGTGAGATACCATGTCACACCTACTAGGATAGCTATAAGAAAAAAGACAAACAAAAGCCAGTGTTGACAAGGATGTAGAGAAATTTTAACCTTCATATATTGCTGGTGGCATTGTAAATTGGGATAGTCACTTCGGAAAACAGTTTGGCAGTTCCTCAAAAGTTAAATATCAAGTTACCATATACCCAGTAATTCCACTTGTAGGCATAAACCCAAGAGAATTGAAAATAAAGGTCCATGCAAAACTGTACCTGAATGTTTACAGCAGCATTGTTCATAATAGCCCCAAAGTAGAAACAATCTGAATGTCCATCAACTGATAAATTGAAAACTAAAATGTGATACAGCCATACGACAGAATGTTACTGAGCAATAAGAAGTAATGTGGTACTGACACACACTATAACATGAACCATCCCTGAAAACATGATGCTGAGTGAAAGGAGCAAGTCACAAAAGCACATCTACTGCATAATTCCATTTATGTGAGATGTCCGTAACAGAGAAGTCCATAGGGTATGGGGTTTCTTTTTCAAGGTGATGAAAGTATTCTAAAGTCAGATAGTTGTGATGTTTGCACTACTATGAGACTATACTAGAAACCACTGAATTGTGTGCTTTAAAAGTAAGTTTTATGACATTTTAATTGTATCATCAAAATTAGCCCTTTGTAAAAATTAAAAACATCTTGAAAGTTTTATAACTATTCCATATATTCAAGAAGAAATATTGAGCATGTTAAGTGGAATTATGGAAGATATAAAAAACACCCATATCAAATTTCTAGAGATGAAAAATATACTGGATGGGATTAATAGCAGAGTAGACCTCATAGAAGAAAAATTAGTGAATAGAAAACATAGCAATAGAAACCATCCAAAAGGAAACGTAGGGAGAAAGAAATTAGAGAGGAAAAAAAGAGAGAACAGAGTATCAGTGAACTGTGAGTGAACCTCGAAGTGGTCTCATATACCATGTAATTGGAGTCTCTGAAGGAGGGAAGTACTGAAAAAAAAGTTGAAGGAAGAATGGCTGAAAAACTTCCAAAATTTCTAAAAACCATAACCTACAGATCCAAGAAGCTCAAAGGGTCCCAAAGCACAAGAAACATGAAGAAAATTAGACCAAGGCACACAATAATCAAATTGTTTAAAACCACTGATAAAGACAAAAATCTTAAAAGCAGGCAGAGAAAAAAGATACGTACACAGGAACCAAGATTAAAAACGACAGATTTCTTTTTGAAATAATGTAGCTAGAAGACAGTGGAGTAACACCTCCAAAGTAATGAAAGGAAAAAGTAACTGTCAACCAAGAATTCTATAGCCAGTGAAGACAGCTTTCAAAAATTATGACAAAAACTTCTTTAGACCTACAAAAACTGAAAGAATTAGCTACAGGTGAAACTGTGCTACAAGAAATATGAATGAAACTACTTCAAGCAAAAAGATGATATCAGATAGAAACTGGGTCTATACTAAGAAATATAAGGCATCATAAGTAGTAACTATGTCGGTAAATTTAAAATACATTTTCTCTGTTATTCATATCTCTTTACAAGATGACTTGATTACTTAAAGCAAAAATAGTAACAATATATCAAAGAAGTAAAATGTATGACAACAATATCAAGATGACTTCATTGGTCTATTGTACCAAACATTTAAGGAAGAAATAATATTAATTCTCCATAAACTCTTCAAGAAATGACTATATATATATGACTGTTTGATTCTTGACAAGGTAGCATTTCAGAGCAGCAGAAAGCAGGTGGTCTGTGGTAGGCAGGATCTAAGATGTCACCCATATTCCTTGCCTTTCTATTATCCCCTCCCTTTTGAGGCATGGGCGGCATCTGTGAATATGATGATATATTAGGCCTGTGACTAGGTTATATTACACAGTGGAGATGGCTTTAAAGGCGATGATCCGGATGGCCCTAGCCTAAGCACACGAGCCCTTCAGAATCTGAGTTTTCTCTGGCTGGTGGCGGAAGAGGAAGTCAGGGAGTCAAAGTACTAAAAGGATTAAAAGCACCACTGCTGGTTTGAACATAGTGCTTATGTGGCTAGGACTTGAGAGTAACCTCTAGGGCTGACAGGGACCCCCAGTTGACAGCCAGCAAGAAAACTGGGCCCTCAGTTATAAAGCCACATGAACTGGATTCTGCAAACAACCGGAATGAGGTCAGAAGTGAATTTTTGGATATGCAGGGGAGCTTTCGAGATCCAGGCAATAGTGACTCTTGAGTTGGGTGGGAGTTCAGTGGAAGTTTACTTTAAAATATTTATGTTTTAGGCACTTTTCTGTAGTGATTGTTGTTTAATTGGAAAAAGTTAAAAAATTCACGTAACTTGTCAGGAATCACATTTCTAAAAGTAAATTTTTCATCAGGGAATGTACCTTTAGTCCTACTTTTTTTTTTTGCCTATAATTTCTCATCTAAGTGTACTTTTTTATTCTTTTTTTTTTTTTAAAGAAAATAGAATACCAGTTGCCTTTCCAGTAATTGCCTCAAGAAAGCCATCTTTTTCGCTCCTCAGAAATGCTCATAACACAACACAGTGGTCAGGAATAATAATGCCAAATAGAAGTGTAATTTCCTAAGGGG